CGGAAGAGCCTCCTCAGTGACTTTAATTAAACGGATGGAAAGAAAAATACAGCCCCCGAAAAACTTGTGGCATCTTTTCTAATAATTTAATTTTATTAGTTATCAGTTGAAAAATTCACTGAAATACTTTAGTGTTTTATTGCTGTATTGATTTGTTTATCTCAAGTGGGCTCCTATGTCACTCCTACCTAAACAAATATTTTCTCTTCCTCGGTAAAATATTTAGAACTCCTGCTTAGAAATTCTCTACTGATTTCTCCTGTTTTCAATAATTCACTGAGGTACAAGAAACTCTGAAATCTGCCTGGCTTACTCACATATTGATCACAGACCATTCTGTATATTTTATCACTAGATAAAATTAATTAAAAGCCACAGAAATTAAAGGCAGCGATTCTGTTCCTGTGAACATCCTATACGGACCAAATATCTAATAACTATCATCTCATTGATTTTATGCAACATCTCAAAAGTGTTGAAGTTAACGTCAGTGAGAAATGTCTATCTACTTCATCCATGTATTTAATTATTTTCTTTCTTTCTTTCTTTCTTTCTTTCGTTCTTTCTTTCTTTCTTTCTTTCTTTCGTTCTTTCTTTCTTTCTTTCTTTCTTTCGTTCTTTCTTTCTTTCTTTCTTTCTTTCGTTCTTTCTTTCTTTCTTTCTTTCTTTCGTTCTTTCTCTTTCTTTCTTTCTTTCTCTCTCTCTCTCTCTTTTTACATAAGCAATCACATCTATGCTGCTTATTTAAGATACAAATATGAAATGTGCATGTCATGCAGGTAATACCTTACAATACCATACTAAAAGGCAGAAAAACAGTCCCTACGATGAGGAGGAAATTACTGGAGGAGAAAAAATGTCACTTAAGAATTAATGAATCAAGTCTGTCTTACAGGATTGATCATTTAAGATGAGGTCAATGAATTTATGATACAAATGGCTATATCACTAGAAGTAATAAAACGGAGCAATATCATTCATTTTACATCTAACTAATGACGTGCTCAGAGTAATTACAGACTTCTTCTAAAAGCCTACACTGATTAGTTCAGATGTGATAGGTGAAACATATATAATTTTTCGTTCAATAAAATAATATTTTCTTATCTGTAAAACACACAGCCAATGTCTTGGTTTTTTAAGTACTTGCATTTTGTACAGAACATCGTTGTTCTTCACAACCAGCTCAAAATCTCTCTGTTCATTTATTCCTTCTGCTTCCCTTTTCCTGCCTCATCCTTTCCCTTCATCGTACAGCCAAGAGAAGAGCTAAACTGTTGCAGAGTGCTTGTTAACACTGTGTATTGGATTTAGTAGTGCTTACGCACGGGAGCAGCTCTCCGGGTTTCAGCGGGATTAGTCAGGAGGGTTAATGCCACGGGATCATGATCAGAGGGTCTGACCCAGCACCCGTGGAAAGCAATGAAGAGACAGCTAGACAGCTCTTCAACGCAATCAATCGGCTTTGGGTCTGATGCTTAATGTCAGCCTCTGCTCACCCTAGAGTTGGCGGGAGCCTTGCCCCTGACCTCAACAGGAGCAGAGGCACGGCCGGGGATTTTGGAAGGAACCGCGGCAAAAATACACGGGAAGAAAATAAACACCACGAGGCTGAGTTCCAGACATTTCCTAACAAACACAGGCAAAGCAACCATTTTGTACGTTTCTACCCAAAAGGAGGTGGGACCGGTAGCGGTGTGACTGACAAAGAGCACGAACATTTCCAAGATAAAGGGTCAGACCTTGCACAGCACTAACAGAACCCCTACGAACCTTTGACTCCCTTGGAAAACACTCCTAGGATGGCTGTTGGGCAAGCACACTTCACACTCTGAATGCCAGAACACAAACCCTGAATGACAGAAAGATCAGTAATAAGATAACCGCCTATCATCTCATTCAGCTGTAATGCAACAACCCTCAAGAAGATTAAATTTACCGAACTGGGGCATGTCCAACGCTAAACAACAGAATGAACATTTCCTTCAGTACATTTAATGTATTTATATTTTAGTGGCGGGTTGCCA